TTGGCGGGTATGTTTGAGGCCCCCCCCCCCCCCGTTTAAATACGGTATTCTGATTGAAATTACTCATAAAATAGTCGAGCGGTGGGATTGGTCCTTAACTGAGTCATTTTGAGTCGACAGCAAGTGGAAAAATGGCCGCCCTCAATGGCTGCTGAATCATAATTCACAAACAATATTCATCAGAATGTTGAGTTTCGACTTTTGGGGGCGCTTAGAGCATATTAGTGTCAAGAATTTTTTATTTTTTTTTAGTTTCTTTTCTTGAAGCACTTGTGTTAACTTTCAAACTGCATTATGTTTTCAAAAGCCACAAATGCTTTTTGTCATTGAACGACAGGTCATTAAAATGGCAACAGCTCCAGCGGTTAGCCACGATACATTTTGAGTGACAGCATCGATTGACGCCATCTAAAAACGTGCTTGTGTTTACTGTATTTTACCATTTGTTCAATAAAATGATTAAAAGTGCACCGGCAACTGTGTCCTTGACCACGGGAAGACGGATTACAAATCATGGTAACTAGCAATGGTAGGCTAGATTAAACATTCTAATGAAGTTCACTTGGTCATAGTCGTGCACTTGTGTAGTTGAAGTCAGTTGTACTTTGCAAGAGGCACTTTGCACATCAGCTTCTTTTGTTAAGCGTGAAATGATCCCAATCTTGGGAGATTCTCTGTCTTTTATGCACTTTTTCCTTCGGGCTTGCGGTTGTTGCTCTTTAGTGACAGCCCGTGTGGGAAAACAACGACAACAAAATCCTGTGACATAGCGTACGATTGAAAAATCTCTACGTGCAGAGAAGTTGCAAAAACTGAACGGCGAAGGATCACCGTATTTTGAAAGTAATAAATAAAATGATGCAACTCTCTGCTGCACTGACCAGCGATCAGTGGCTGAACCAACGTCTGGCCAGGCGGCGGGATGGTGGTGAAGCCAAGGGTCGCCAGGGGAGGTGGCACGTATGCTGAGCCGGGTATCGGCAGCGCTTGCTGGGAGGTGCAGGAAGACGAGGACGAGGAGGCCGCTGACGTGGGCACCAAGGGCAGAGAGGATGGCACCCCGGGAGTGGACTGCACATAGGTGATCCTGCGGAGTTGAAAGGACTGTTTTAGTGGAAAATGTCGACGGGGTGACTGGGTTGAACAATGTGACAGATACAGGAAGGAAGCTTGGTCAGAGAACAAAAGCAGAAGTTGTGCAGAGGATGCGTCGTGTTACACGTGTGGGTGTGTAGCTGAGAGGTAGCGTGTGGGGGTGGACGGCCGAGGCAGCGCAGGGGCCACCAGGAGCATGACTAACGTATCCAGAATAGAGCAGCTCCGCCACAGCAGCGCCCCTGCTGTAC